CATATTCTATATACACTTGGCAAAGACACTGCGCATTCTTCTGCAACTTCTTTAGCTGTACGCATTCCAGTTTTCCCCACTAGTTTTATGTATGCTCTCTTTTCTGCTGAAAACGTTCCAGTAAACACCATGTTTAATACAATTTTTAGCATTATACACTGGATGTCTATGACGTCATTAATTGTACAATAATTACATGTAATTGGTACAACATTTATGATGTAATACTAACGTCATATGAACCTTAGTACATCATTCCAGTACCCTTAACCGCTTTTCAAGCGTTCGAAATTATGGACATATCAGTCATTACAGGTCAGACAATCGTGGACAAAACCTGTTAATAAAACTCGCAGTTATGTAGATTTTTGTTCAATATTCGTTAATACATTCATGCGCATCACGCCACATGGGCCCCCTCTCCCCCCGGAACAATGTTGCAGTAATGGGTCTATAGTGTGGGGATGGCGAATCCAACATTGAATGGGGGAAAGGGGGGCAGAATGTGGAATACAATTTGGTTAATGCAATTTCATTATGATATTAATTAGTTTTATTAACAGTTTTGTCCACGATTGTGGATCAAGTATGTCAACATTGTAATTACACTTACCATTCTGATCAATACATAAAATCATTCTTTCATCTGCAAGAGAGCAATTTTTCTGATGTTCCAATGAAAGCGTTGTATGATTGATCATCAACGGTACAAAAGAGCCATTCCTAAATGTGAATATTAAGCAGTTAAGCACCAACCCCTCTGCAAACATCCAGTTTGACATATTGTATTGGAAAATTGAGATGGCAAAATTTCCCATTGAAATTGTAGAACAGATTGGATAATAATATGCATGTGTGTAACATATCTGAAGATCTTGGTGAGTTAGTGGATTTACAGTGTAGATAGATACTTCCAGAAATTAGTGCGTTTGAAAGAACTGCTTGCCACTGAGCAAATATATGAAAATATAGGCAGCAAATATGATACTTTCGGCAGAACAGTGCTTTTTATATGCACCATGACTGACCAACAAACATACTAAACTGAAACAATTAATAGGTAAAATTTCTCAAATTCATTAATAATTCATGAGTAATTCAGCCAATGATAATCACCTATTTGATCACAAGATGCCATTTGGATAACCCGGTGAAACTTGATGAAAGTCACTAGTGTTTTCATCAAATATCTTAATTACGCATGCAAAATTACTTGAATAGAATTCCTAATTACTTTATGCTTGGTTAAGAATTCTATTCAAATCAGCAAACGAAAACATTCTGTTACGTCTCGATTCATTTGAGAAGTCATATAAACAACTCGAGCTCGTGTCTCACCGGGATATCCAAACACTCGAAAACAATGTATGAAAACACTCGCGCTTCGCGCTCGTGTTCTCATACATTGTTTTCTCGTGTTTGGATATCCCGGTGAAACACTCACTCTCGTTGTTCATATATTACTTTACAAACCTTAAACTTTTCCAACTGATGAAAATAATTTCGTTTTTCGTGCAACGATTTGGCACAATCTAGACAGAAATACTGACAGGAACCACAATCCACACATCGACAGATAGCAGCATTTTTATTACACTCCACACACTCTGTCCAGGCATCACTGCCCTAAATAAAAGCTTCTCCTTCAAGGCGACCTTGTAAAATATTTTGTCTTATTGCTATCCAACTGTCATTTTCATTAATATGCCGAAGATGATGCTTTGATAGAGACGTTCCCTCAGACTCAGTGGCCCCAGTTGGATTGTCAAACGTTTCGCCAAGTTCTTCGCTCGCTAAAATATCAGACTCTGCATTGCATTTGCTACCAGTTCGACTAACATATTTATCAGCCTTCAAAGAAACAGCCTTAGAGATTTTTTTCCCTTTTGTTGACCTTGTATTCAGACAAATTTTACAAGCCTTAAATCGTTTCCACCACCCCTGTCTGTCGGCCATGTTGTTTCGGCATAATTATAAAAACAGCATGATTTGTCTCGCTCAGGTGACCACCTGGCTCGGATATATGCAATGATCTAAATTTTAGAATACTCGGTATATGTGATTTAGAACATGCGAAACGGGTGGTTTATGGGAACTGGTTCTAAATTTACTGACGATTTTTTATAGAACTAAGGTATTCTTCTAGTTTAAATTCTGATTTGAAGGAGGATAGGAAAGATAATTTATAGGAATTAACCAGATACGTAAACCCACATAAAACAGCAAGATCTTGTGACCCGCCAACTGTGTGTAAATTCTAAACATGCTCTCCCAACTGTGAAAAAACCATTAAAGACTGATATATGTAAACCGTTTTGGCATCGCTGAGACTCTATGATCAAGAATTGTGTCGAGGAACACTCTGCCGGTAATCAAACGTGTGGTAAATCAAAGACAAAGACTCTTTTGTTGTGTGCGGTACAGTTTGAATATTTAATTATCCAAAAGAGACTGTATTGTAATATGCGTATTGCGTATACACAATTATTTCGTATTTATCACAGTAATATACACCAGGCATATTATAAATATTATGAAGAGGTTTTATTGCCAGTATAGCTTTGTAGCTTGATCTATCCCAGTTTTGTTTTGTTATGGATTAGCATGAGATCCAGCTTGCACTTTTAAAGACATCAATATAACTATCGACTTTTTAGAATTAAATATAGCCTCTAAATATTAAATGCTGTACTAGAGATAAACAACCGATCAATATATCAATAGAAACTTTAAAATGCTTATAAAATATCATAAAGTAATGATATGTTTGTGCGAGACATTGTGCATATATAGTTTATGGATAATGTAAATGACAAAATGTCGAGACACCTTATATCATGCACATATTATACTTTGCTAAACCTTATCTGCTATATTATTCACGGGACAAGGTATAAAAGGCGGGTAAGATAGCTATAGAATTATATAGAAAATGTGCTATATTTCATTCAAATGTTCAACAACATACTAGTTTAGTGCAAGGAAATATGGAAAAGCATTGCCAGAAATGAGGGACATGCGTCTGCCTTGCACAGCGGATCTCTGCATGAAAATTTGATACCGCGCGCCACTTATCCAGCGGCTTTCCGTGTGGTAATAGAAAACAATATGGCTTCCAGTATGGCTTCTAGCTTGAAGAGATCACAAACAAATGTTGATTACAAACAATTGCATTCATTTTCGATTTTTCGTTAACTGTTTTATACGACACAACACTCAAAAGAAGATTTTTTGACGTTGAGAGAATTGTTGAGCGAACGAAAAGACCTCAAGTAAGTTAACTTTGCGGAAATTTTATACTTACAGACTACAGTCTACATTGTCATTGCAAAATATATAAAATTAGTCTTTTATAATACGTTTAATATTATCTTTTTTCAGGGTTATGAGTACCTTATCAAATGGAAACGATGGCCATTTCATGGCTGCTCCTGGGAACCATCAGAAAATGTAACCCCGGTTTTGTTAAGGTACTGTATTGTTCGTATAAATTGTAAACTATAATCTATATTTTCAACCACCAGTCTGCATAAAAAAATACTGTATCTAGGGGAACACAATCAATTTCGGGAATCTTATTTGACTCATTTCATAGATAGGGTAGGTAAAACTTTATTTAAGTCGTAAGGGCGCTAGATCATGAGTAATTTTATACATAAGACTTGCCACAAACTGGGTTCTGCATTCGCACAGAGGCTTCCAGTTTAATTTGTTTAGAGCAAGCTCAGATTGACCATGTTCATTTTTACGACCCACGATAGCTCTAGCAGCCCTATTTTGTAATTTCTGGAGACGATCAGAAAGTGTGGTACCAATGGTGTTGCAAACTTCGCAACAATAATCAAGGTGAGGCAAAACAAGTGCATTATAGGCACAAATTAATGTATTACGGTCTACACATGATTTTAACTTTCTGATTGCCCCAATTCCAGATGATACTTTTTTGGCAATGTTATCAATATGCTTTTCCCATGATAGAAATTCATCAATATAGACTCCAAGTGCCTTTGTTTCTCTTACCCTTTTAATTGGTATGTCACCAACAAATACCTTTGGGGTAGCCAATATATTATTAATATTATGCCGTGATCCAATTAGTATGTACTCAGTTTTAACGAGATTTAAAGATAGTTTATTTGCACACAGCCACTGATTAACGTTTGAAAGATCGTGATTGATGGCAACTTCTACATCATGAAGAGATTTACCAGATACAGTTAACGTTGTATCGTCGGCATACATTCTTGATTACGAGTGTTCAAGACTGATCTGTTTATATAAATTAGAAACAGGAGTGGCCCAAGAATTGAACCTTGGGGGATCCCGCAAGTAACTAGGTTTTTTCTAGACAATATTCCGTTCACAGTACACATTTGAAATCTGTTTTCTAAGTATGATCCTAAAAGATTTAGGGCAGGTTTTTGTAGACCATAAAGGTCAAGTTTCTTAATCAATATATTATGATTTATAGTATCAAATGCTTTCTGCAAGTCAAGAAATACTGCAATATTGAATTGACCATGGTCCATACTAATGAACCATTCGTTAGTACTGTCCAAAAGGGCAGAAGCTGTAGAATGGAACTGCCTAAAACCAAATTGATTTTGAGACAACAAATTATTAACAACAAAATAATCATATAGTTGACTATATAGAACTTTTTCAAAAACTTTACTTACTATAGGCAGAATGGAAATTGGGCGATAGTTACTCAACATGTTTCGAGGGCCATTTTTGTGTAAAGGGATAACTCTCGCTAGTTTCCACTCTGAAGGAACAGTTTCACTATAGATTGCCGTATTAAAAAATTCTTGTCAGTGAATTTGCAATTATTGGCGCAGCAATAAGAATAATTTTAGCGCGAATTTTATCAATTCCAGTAGATTTGCAAGGATTTAAAGAGGAGAGAAGTTTGTATACTTTGGTTTCAGACACTGTTTGAAACTTGAAACTACTTGTTGCTTTTGTTATGTAATCCGTGAAATTTCTATCAGTATTACCAATGGTTGTGGCAATTTTTGGACCAATGTCAGTAAAGTAATTATTAAAGTGCTCCGCTAATTCATTTGGACAAGAAATTTGACCATTCTGAGTATGGTTACAATTTATTTCGCGACATTCTTGTTTCCGGTTAAGGATTTTATTAACCGTTTTCCAAGCTTTTTTTATGGTCATGTTTGACACTTTCAAATTGTGCTTTATAATATGCTGTTTTTGCTTCTCGCAGGATTCTAGTTATATGGTTTCTAGAGGTTTTATATGCAGTCCAGTAATATTCTGATTTGTATTTAACGCAAGGAATTTGAGACGATCGCGTTCACGTATTTGTTTTTTAATTGCATTAGTCAGCCAAGAAATATTTGGTATATTTTTTACTCTCTTTTCTCTAATTGGTGCATGCTTATCTAGAACTGACAAGAAAATAATTTTCCATGTTTCCCACATCCTGTCAATGCAGAAGTTATTGTCCAACAATTCCCATTCCTGATTGCTCAAATCCATTAGGAAAGTTCCGAAATTCGACTTTCTTGTGGCGGTTGTTTTGTTTAGGATGAATATTAATTTTACGAACAACTAAAATCATATAGTGATCGCTGATAGCAATCTGCACCACTTTAGATAAGACTAACTTATCTGGAGTTAGGGTGAGACAAACATCCAACAGGGTAGATGAAGTCATGGTCACGCGAGTGGGTGAGCTTATTGTTTGTGTTAACTGATATAGTTCAATGATTGAATTTAAGTTTTTTGTGGCATTATTTGAAACGTCAAGCATATTGGCATTTAAATCACCAAACATGTAAAATTCCTTATTCTCATCATCTATAAGTTTAATTAGTTGCTCAATATTGGCAAAAGAGTCGACAGAAGCACCTGGAGGTCTATAAATGGTACCAACAATAAATGATGCAGAAGAGGGTTTGTTAACCTCAATACAAACTGCTTCAAGATTATCTCTAGTCAGATCTTTTCGTTCAAAATAATTAATGGGATTTCTTATGTATAAACAGAC